TGACCTGCCAAAAGCCACACCTCCAAATACCATCACACTGGGGCTAGGGCTTCCACATATGAATTTTGGAGAAACACAATTAAATCCATGGCAGTAACTTATCAGAGAGGTCTCCCCTGACTACCCTGTATAAGATAGAAGCTCTTCCTGCCCTATCACTTTTTATTCTCTTTACACTGTTTTTTAATTGTCTTCAAAGCATTTATCACCTCCAGACATTATTTACCTGTTACTTGTCTGCCTCCACAGTACAGTGTAAGTACTGAATGGCAGTGACTGCAGCAGTTTTTATTCACTGGCTTATTTCCAGCTCTCAGAATAAAGTGAGGCACACAGACACTCCTTACGTATTTGTTGAATTAATAAATTAAAACGTTCACTTATATATGCATTGGTGAACCATTTACATAATAAAAAATTTGGAATTAACACACATCTCCAGTATTGGGGTTAAATAAATGCAGGCAGAGCCATACAATGGAACGCTATGTAACCATTAAAAAATGGTGCTATCAAATATTTAGTGACATGGGAAAATGTTTACCTTTTTACGTAAAAACACCTTGTTACATAAAAACAATACCAAAAAATGTATACAAAAAAGTATATAAAATAAAATCTACATTTTGTTAAAAATAAATAAATTTGTATATCTGTGTAGAAAGGGAGAAGATCAAATAGAAGAGAGAAGAGACTACAAATATGCACACCAAAATATTTTATTTATTTACTTATTCATTTATTTAGAGATTAGATCTCACTCTGTTGCCCTGGCTGGAGTACAATGGTGTGATCTTGTCTCAATGCAGCCTCCGCTTCCCAGGTTCAAGCAATTCTCCTGCCTCAGCCTCTTGAGTAGCTGGGACTACAGGCATGCACCACCATGCCCAGCTAACTTTTGTATTTTAGGGTTTCGTCACATTGGTCAGGCTGGTTTCCAACTCCTGGCCTCGTGATCTGCCTGCCTCAGCCTCCCAAAGTGCTGGGATTACAGGTGTGAGCCACTGCGCCCAGCCTGTACACCAAAATATTAAAAGTGGTTAGCACTCAATGGTGAAATGTCGGGTGATTTCCATTTTCTTTACTAATTAGTTCAAGTTTTTATAATACATGTACATTGCTCTTAACGATCTTGAAATCTAATTTTTAAATTGCAAGTTGTCGGGAGAGAGAATATGATTAGCTCACCTCTGGCCCGAGCACCTGTGGACAGGAAGTGAGGTCTGCTGGTACGTAGGGTGACCTCTCTCAGAGACTGAGGGGGCTCAGTTCTCTATGAGGAGAGGAGGTTGAGGAAGGAGTGATGGAGGCTCTCATACCAGCCAGAACGATGATAGCAACAGTGGGGGATGAGAGGAAAGGCCAGATACGCGGTCTCTAAGGTATAAACCTAGAAGATACTAGAATGATCATTTCCAATCACACTTGTCATTTCCTTCACTTAGAGATCATGAGAAGCCTCCAATGTAAGAACAAGAAAGGCCCTTTGAGGTCAGCCAGCCCAACTCCTTCCTGTATAGCTAGAGAAGCCAAGGCAGAAGTAAAGTGGCCTGCTCCTGTTTACAGCTGGTGGCAAAGCTGGGGCTAGAGTCCAGGTTTTCTGCCTCGGGGTCCAGCACTCCTTGCACCACGTTGCACTGCCTCTCCACTCTGATGCCAGGGCAGCCCATAGCTTAGTCAGACGGTGTTGGCCCAGAGCTGACAGTTAGGTCTGCTTCAAAGCCCCCTCCCTGGCTTGCAGGAATTGCAGCCCAGGGCTGGTGGTTATTCTGGGTGGTTATGAATGGGAGGGAAGAGGAACCATCTGTGGACACGAGACAGAAGCAGTGTCCACTGAACCTGCTCTTAAGTGCAGTAGGTGCTTGAGATTGAGGAGAGAAGTAAACGATATTTCTCCTGATAAGTTACAATATCCCAAGTGTGAAAACTCCTGATCCGGTGAATCTGCAAAGCCCTTCTGTGGGAAGGGAGCCCATGTGAAGGAGTACTTCAGCAGAATGACTCTGCTTTTGAATTCTGAGATTCTGGTGGCATCTCATAAGGGAAAATCCCTTTAAGGGAATATTTGGACTAAAAGCACTCTGACAAACCCTGACTAAGTCCCAGTTACTCACTTCTAGCAGCAGTGATTTTTTTGTTTGTTTGTTTGTTTTTTACAAGATAGAGTTTGCCTTTCTGTTTTAGGGAGAAACTGATTCCCCTTTAACCCCTCTGATATTGTTTCTTGTCATATTTATGAAAACCAGTAGGAAGAGCCAGGTGCGATGGCTCATGCCTATAATCCGAACGCTTTGGAAGGCTGAGGTGGGCGGATCGCTTGAGCTCAGGAGTTCAAGACCATCCTGGCCAACATGGCAAAACCCCATGTTTCTATTTACATGTTTCTATTTTTCTATTTGAAACCCCATTTTTTACTACCAAAAATATAAAAAATTAGCCAGGTGTGGTGGTGTGCACCTGTAGTCCCAGCTACTCAGGAGGCTGAGGTGACAGGGTTGCTTGAGCCTGGGAGGCAGAGGTTGCAGTAAGCTGAGATCATGCTACTGCACTCCCGAGCAAGACCCTGTCTCAAAAAAAAAAAAAAGAAAAGAAAGAAAACCAGTGGGAATTGCTAACCTATGTTGAAGCCTATTTTATGCCTAATGGTTCCCAAACAGGGGAAATTTTGCCTCCCAGGAGACATTTGGCAATGTCTGGAGTCATTTTTGGGTTGTTACAAGTGGCCATGAGCAGGGGGCTAGGGTGTGCTACTGGTGTCTAGTGCATAGAGACTGGGGATGCTGTTAAACATCCTACAATACACAGGACTACCCCCACAACAGAGAATTATATAGCCCAAATGTCAATAAAGCCAAGATTGCAGACCCCTGGCCTAGAAGGTCTTTCTGTAGTGGACAGGAATTTCTTAAATCTAAGAACAATCATTTCCAAGTCTACCCTCTCTTATGGAATTAGACAAAGGGCTGTATATTAGTGTTTTCTTCTTTTTTTATTTTTATTTTTTTACTTTTTGTTCAGTTAATAAACTAGCTAAAAATCTAGCAGTTACTATATATTTTGCTCTAAAATATCTTTATTCTAGAACAAGTGCACTCATTAATTTAAAAAGTTTTAATGAAAATTACAGTGCCCATTTGATTAATGTGTTACAAGTTTTAGAGACCCTTCATCATGATAGTCCAATTTAAAAAATTGTACCTTACCTTAAAAGGTTTTTATAATGACATATATTATATATGTTGTAGAAAAGTCAAAAAAATGTTTTTTAAGAGAGTTTTTTGACCAGGCATGGTGGTTCATGCCTATAATCTCAGCACTTTCGGAGGCCAAGGTGGGAGGATCACTTGAGCCCAGGAGTACGAGACAAGCCTGGCAAGCATGGCGAAACCTTGTCTTTACTAAAAATATAAAAAAAAAATTAGCCAGGCATGGTGGCAAGTGCCTGTAGTCCTAGCTACTCAGGAGGCTGAGGAATCAGAATTGCTTGAACCTGGGAGGCGGAGGTTGCAGTGAGTTGAGATAGCACCACTGCACTCCAGCCTATGGCAAGACTGTCTCAAAAAAAAAAAGAGAGAGAGGTTTTTTTTTAAAATGATGATTCTACCACTTAGAAGGAAACATTTCAGAATATTATTGTGTATTTCTCAATGAATTTTTAAAATAGTTACCATTCTATTTACACAAATTCATTTCTCCAAAATGAGTCTTTGTAAATATTCAGTTTCCTGCAGGGTGCAGTAGCTCGTGCCTGTAATCCCAGAACTTTAGGAGGCAAAGGCGGGAGGATCACTCGAGTCCAGAAGTTTGAGACCAGCCTGGGAAACATAGTGAGACCTTGTCTCTACAAAAAATTTTAAAAGTTAGCTGAGTGTGGTGATGCACACCTGTGATCCCAACTACACAGGAGGCTGAGGTGGAAGGATCACTTGAGTCCGGAAGGTTGAGGCTGCAGTGAGTCATGATCATATCACTGCATTCCATCCTGGGAGACAGAGGGAGACCTTGTCTCAAAAATAAAATAAAATGAAAAATAAAATAATAAAAAAACAGGTGCTTAGTACTCCATCATGTAATACTGAACCCTACATTACCTAAAATCCTGTGTTGAACACAGGTCATTAATTGTTCACTATTATAAATAATCTATAATGAACATTCATGCTTTTCAGGTTGCTTTTTAAATAGCACAGCAATCTGGATTGTCCTGGAGACTTTGGGACATGATTATTTAATGCCTAGTTCATGACAGAAACAGAATAGATAGGTGTCCTACCAGTGCAGCAGAGGAAACACCATTTGGAGTAACCAGTTGAAGGGAGAGTTCTGGAACACCTAGGAATGGGGATTTAAACTTGGGTAGACCAACCAAAACATGTATCTGTATATATACAGATGTATGTATGGAAATACCAAAAAGAAACAAAAATTGAAGAGATAAGCACCAAGATTTTAGCCATGGTGACTCTGGGATAGAAAATTGGGACTGGGGGAGGAACAAGAAGAGAAGAGGAACTTTGGGGGTTTTTTTCCATTATCTTCTTTACTATTTGAATTCTTAACTATAAGAATATATTCATATGTAACTTGTGTAATACTTAAGCACAATACACTTGAGAGAATGATTTGGATCCTCATGGATGGGAGGCCTGATTTTATGTCAGCAGTTACTCACCTTTTACTTTTTTATCCAGCCCTAGTATTGCTGGGCACATTGTGGATAATGGATGAGCATCCCTGGAGATGGTATATTTTGGTAAAGAAGTTCTAACATGCATTTAGATGATGGGCCTTAATAATTTGTTCTCTTCTCAGTGTATTAGACATGACTCTTCTGCATCCATCGTCTTTGACGTAGAAAATGGTAGTGGTAGAAACAGTCTAGGGCCAGGATCCTGAAGGTTTCATTGCTTTAGGTGCTGGTTTAGAGAAAGTTTCTCTGTGAAGCATGCACACCCAGTCCCTGGGCCAATAGATAATGAGATTGTTCTTTTTTCCTTCAGGCCGGACACCTGGTCCCTGGCTCCAAGCAGAGGCAGTCGGGCAGAGCTCTGATGACATCAAAGGCAGAAATTCTCAGGTAACAGAAGACTCATGTCTCTGAATGTAAAACCAGGAATTATCCTTAGGGGGCACAGAAATGGTAAGGGTATGCTTTCTCCTTAACAGTTTTATATTTTTCCTCAGACTCCTTTTCCTCAGGGAAAGCCATTTGGTGGACCTTTGTTCCAAGCTAGAATGAAACACTCACCATTTCAAAGTCTGAAGTGTGACAAAAGGCAGGGCTTCCCTGGAATCACCACTACATACAGAAGCAAGTTTAGCAACTCTGACATTCTACAACAATCATGCCAATCACTTCTCATTCTTCCTCGGTTATGATGGCCTGTGAGAAAAACTGAATAACATGTATAAAATATAATTCAGCATTCTCTCTCATCTATAGAATACATGGTTTCTTTTAGCACACTTGGAGTTTTTTTTCCCCCACCAATGTTATAATTGATTTTGGCCAAATTTAGTCACAATTCAAGTACTAGTACCTACAAGAAATGAACAGAACTAGAAGGGAAGCCAGACAACCGCTTTTGTGATAAGACAGACCTTGAAGAAACACCTTTAGTCTCACCCAGGGCATCTTAAACAGAAATATTTCCTAACCTGGACATGACGTCTCCCTGCACATCTTTAAAAGTCCTTTGTTTCTTTGAAAACATGTATTCAGTCGAACAATAGTCTCCCCATTTCTGAATCATATGTGACAGACTACAGAGTCACTTGCAGTTAAACCAGGCAATTCTGCAGCTGTGTGGAACATCAAGGAAAGTGACCTGAGAAGGAAGAGGCTAGGTTCCTGGAAGCTAGGATGAGTTCCTCAGAGGAAAAAGTACATCCTCTAGCAGATAAATATTACCCTTTTCTAACCACAGATGATCTAAGAATTGCAGTAACGATTCTCAGATAATCACAGGTTCAAAACTGTGCATATGATTGTAGTTAAGGAAGAAGTATATATACATAGGAAAAAAGACAGGAAGAATATACACAATATTGTTAACAGGTAGAGAGCATTCTGAGAAGATGGCAGAGGAGAAAGCACCAGGAATCTGTGGACAACAATTGCATTGGCAGAATCTGTCTGATGTAACTTGTCTCATGTATTTTGGAACTCTAGGATTCATTAAAGGCTTGCAACTTCCAGGTGAAAGCTTGGACAGTAAATTGTGCTCTTAGTACAATAGTAACTACTCATCCTCCACCCCCCAGCCCATGGCAGGCAACTGGGCACGTGTTCCTGGAGCCGCTTGCACACAGCTTGCGGAGCCAAGGTGGGCACAAAAAAAACCCCTGTCCTCCAGATACTGGGGAATCTGTTCTCTGATTGCTTATTGCTGCTTCTGATCACAGAGGTACAAATAAAGAGATGGGCAGCCATTGTTGCACCTCCTCTTATTGTTGTACCTCCTCTTATTGTTGTAAATCCCTTTCCCTCTGGCTGAAGTGGCCTCCTGGGGATTTCAAGGGCTGGTGACCATTTTGTTCCTCCTGTCCTTTCTCTTCTTTTTCCCATTTGGGAGCCAAACATTAAAGATGAACATTCAAAGGCTACTACATAAATGATGAAAATTAGAAAGTGACCACATATGCCCAAGGAAAGGCACGAGCTCAGAAAAGACCAAGAAGACCTTAAGATTACACCTCAGGCTGATTCTTAGCACAGAGACAGCCTTCAACAATCAAAAAAATAAAACGAACAAAAACAATAAGAAAAACAAGCAAACCCTGGGGGAGAGAGAGAATTGATATCTAGAGTTACTACATTATTAGATTAAAATGTAGAGTTTTCAACAACAACAAAAATCACATCATACAAAGAAACAGGAGAGTATGGCCCATTCAAAGGAAAAAAAAATACATCAATAGAGACTGCTCTTAAAAAAGACCTGAGGGGAGATCTACTAGACAAAGACTTTAAAGCAACTGTCTTAAAGATGCTCAAAGAACTAAAGGAAAATGTGGAGAAAGTAAAGAAAATGATGTATGAACAAAATGGAAGTATCAATAAAGAGGAAAAAAACATTCTAGAGCTGAAAAATACAACAAATGAAATGAAAAGTTTACTAGAGGGAGTAAAAGGCAGACTTGAGCAGGCAGATGAAAGAATCAACAAACTTGAAGATAGGACAACTGAAATTATTGAGTCAGAAGAACATAAAGGAAAAAGAATTAAAAGTGAACAAAGCCTAAGAGACCTGCAGGAGACCATCAAGCAGACTAACACGCTTATTGTGGGAGTTCTAGAAGGAGAAAGGAAAGTGAAAGGGTAAAAAAGACTCTCTGAAGAAATAATAGATCAAAACTCCCCAAATCTGTTGAAAGGCATGAATATAAACATCCAAGATGCTCAGTAAAGTAAGATGAACTAAAAAGCCACACCAAAGAAACACCATAATCAAATTTTCAAAAGGCAAAGAGAAAATCTTGAAAGCAGCAAGAGAGAAGTGACTCCTCACATACAAGGGATCCTCAGTAAGACTGTCAGTAAATTTATCATCTGAACTTTGAAGGCCAGAAAGTAGTGAGCCCATATAGTCCAAATGCTAAAAGAAAAAAACTGTCAAGCAATAATTTTGTATCTGGCAAAACCATTCTTAAAAAGTGAGGGAGAAATTAAGATATTCACAGATAAACAAAAGCTGAGGGAGTTTGTTACCACTAGATCTGCCTTGCAAGAATACACAAGGGAGTCCTAAAGGCTCAAATGAAAGGACATGAGACAGTAACTTGAAGCTGTAGGAAGAAACAATGACCTCACTAAAGATAACTATATGGCCAAGTATAAAAGCTAATATTATTGTAACAACAGTTTGTAACTATACTTTTTTGTTTTCTACATGATTTAAAGATAAAACATTTTTAAATTTTTTAGCTAGAGTGGCTCGCCCTCTCCAATGATATCTATCTTTAAATCATTTAAAGACACTTAGAGTTGATCACTAACTATAACATGACATCTCTCACACTGTGCAATAGTATTGTCGTCCAAGGCTAGCCAATGTAAATAGAAGAATGTATAAAGGTAACCGTGCTGTGATTGGGTAGAGTGTACAGCCGAGTCCATACACAAACATCCTCTATCTTGACTAGTGGCCTCTATGCCTTACTTCTCTAGCCTCTACACACATATTTTCTTTCACATATCAGAAATCACGAGTAACATGGTGCTTCGTGTTTTTCGATACATCCTCCATCACAGTGGTGAGTAAGGAAAGCGTCCTGAAAATACTATGAGTTCAACCTATCAAACTATTATTATATGCTCTACCATGGTCATACACTTTATCTTAACATGAGAATATACAAGCTTATTAGAATGTTTACATTATACATTATGTGAAATGGAGAGCAGATAGATCAAATAATGGTTAAAACTACATATAATCAACTACACATATAAGTAGTACATATCTAATATAACAGAATAACTGTAAATGGCGTACTCTGTAATGAAGTACACCTTGTATTAACGATATAATGGTCCTAAATTATAATCTATATATTCATTGTCAAACTTTTTCATTTAAATGAAAACTACATGTATTGCCTGATGATTAGTCAACGTCCAGCAAAATGACAGAGTACATCCCCTCCTCTCTTTGGTTCAGTTAATTAGCTTTCAAAGAAATGGATTAAACTTTCCAATCAAAAGATAGAGATTGGCAGAAATGCCATTTAAAAATCTGATCTAGCAGCCTACCCTCGTTTACAACACTCAGTTTTAGCCGGGACTAAAACACACCCCGGTGGCGGCCGGCGGACTGGCCCGTAGTGAAAGTGAAAGATCGACGCCGATCTAATTCGCCTAATGTGATCCAAAGAGAGCAAGGGGTGGATCTGCTACACCACTCAGGCAAAATAGCATATTCCAAGATGAAAAAGTTACAAGAAACAGAAAGCACATATACCGCCAATACAAGGTTCAACAAGCAAGAGACATAACAATTCAGATATTAGTTCAACTAATAACAGACCATCAAAATGCATGAAACAAAACCTGAACAAAAAAGTGAGAATAGACCCTTAATAATAGTTGAACGAATCAAATATTCTACATCCAATAATCCAACACACCAGACAGGAAGCATAAGGAAAGAAATAGACGAAACAAAAAAGCTGTATATTAACAGACATAACAGTACACTCTACCCAACAGCAGCAGTATATACATTCTTCTTTAAATGGCACCTTGAGACATTTCCAGGGAGAGGATCATTTCCGTTAGGTCACAAATGTAAGTGTCTTAAATGCATTTAAAAGATAGATATCGGGCCAGGCACAGGTGGCTCAGCTGTAATCCCAGCACTTGAGAGAGCGCCTAGCGGGGGTGGATCACCTGAGGTCAGGAGAGTACCAGATCAGCCTGGCCACACCATGATGAACCCTCCACGTAAAATACGAAAAAAATACCGGGCATGGGTGGGCGGGCACACTGTAACCCCACCTACTTGGGTAGGCTGAGGCGGAGAATTGCTTGAACCCAGGAGGCAAGAGGTTGCAGTGAGCTGAAGACTGTGCCATTGCACTCTAAGCCTGGGCAACAGCAAGAGAGTTTAGAACTCCATCTTA